GTGTTCCATCCTGCAGAATTTTAGTAATCTATAGTCTGCTTTCATCCTGTTCTGCTTCTGCACCCTTATTTCACACTGGCAGGGGCCTGCAGGCTCAGACTCCTTTCTTTTCCTGGTCTTTGGTGACATGACTGGTTTCTACTTTATGGAAACACTGGCCATCCCCATCCTTAGTATCCTTTTTATATCAAGCTTTCTCATTTTTTGAGTAATATCAGACTGAGTATATTTCATATTTTAAAGCTCTTCCTCCATTTTCCTTATAATTCACTCAATTTCTCCCTCTTCTATCATCCTTTACTATAAATAGTAAAGAAAACCTAAACTTAATCAAAAATGTTGCTTAAAAATTATGTACTTTCGTGTGATTCTTTCTCCTTCGTGACAAGAATTATTTTTGCTCCAGTTTCTGATAATGCTCATTTCCATCTGAGACCTGGCCAGAAGCATCTTTGATATCCATATTTTTACCAAGAGTGCCTTCAAAGCCTTTTACTTGGAGCAACATCAAAACTCAGCCTACACCAAACGCTCAGTCTCAAATTACCTCCTTCTTTATTTTGAGGGTACTTGTCTCAGTAGCACCTTACTTCATGGCACTAGAGCCTGTATTTGCCCAGCTTATCCAGAGAAACAATACCAATATGAAATGTATAAAAAGAACCTTATGAGGAGGAATTGACTCACATGATTATGGAAACTAGCAACTACCAATATCTGTAGGGTGAGTCACGGTTATAGCTTATATGTAAAATGTCCCCCAAAGCCTGTTGTGCTCATAGGTGGGGCTTTGAGGGGAGGGGTACATAGATCACGGGTGTGTGATACAGAATCATTTCTCCACTGAAGAGTTTATAGCTGGGTGTGAGGTTGGGAAGTGAAGGTTGGTGTGAAGAGGTGGGACTCTGTGGGTATAAGTAACCTGGAATGACCAGTATCCCCCTCCTGCCTTGATCCTGTGCACTGTAACCTACCTGCCATACCATGACGTGTTTGTCCTTTACCATGCTGCCACAGCTTGAGCCAGTTGACTATGAGCTGAAAACTTCACAAACAATGAGCCAAAATAAACCTTTTCTCCTTTAATCTGAGAGCATCAGGTATTTTGTTCCAGCATCAAAAATTAACCAAGACAATCTACAGCTTACAGATCAGGAAAGCCCAAGGTGGAGATGGAGAAAGGATTTAACTGATTTGATGAAGTCCGTCCAACCTAAGGAGGGCAATCTGCCTTACTCGGACCAATGCTGTGAGTATTATATCAACCAAAAACATCCCTGAGGATTGTGTGACTTTACACCTGGCATTCCACAACGAGGTGAAGTTGACACATGAAGTCAACCTCATCAACTTTCTTCAGAGCTTGGTTGTGAAAATCTTTTAAGTGTGAAAATATTTGCATCCAAATTATATTGCATATTTATTCATTCCACACAGGAAATTTGATCGTTCCTCAAATCTCTGAGAGCTAAATACTGAACATTTCAGAATTAAATGCCTGGGCCTATATCATTAATGTTATTCAAGCTTCTAGACTCTTTGTTATTAAAATAAAGTTTGACTATGATGGATATATTTTGAGAAAACTTCCCCTTTTTTGTAGTGTCACACAATAAAATCCATGGGAATTTGGAAATTCCAGGTGAGGCTCTAGGAAAAATTACTCAGAATTACAGAGTGAAGCATGTGTTACTGACATGTAACTCTCCTATGGATGAGGTCAATAATAGCAAATGTTTTGCTTTCAAATCTAGGAAAAACACACTTTATATTGGGTTGCAATATTTAATGATAAAATGTTTCAAATATCAGTTTTTATTTAGGGACAAACTTAAATATTTAATAAAAGGTATATCTGGGTAATAATATAATATAAGGTAGGACGTTTTAACTCAATTTTCTACATTTTATAAGTGGAATTCAGATATGCAGATACTGCTTGAAATATAATTTGAAAAATTGCATATATTAGGGCAAGTCAGATAGCTGAGAGGACTAAAGCACCTACTTAGGCAGAGTGCAGCGGTCGGGGCTCAATCCTCCGTGTGCTGTGCAGGTCCCACCCCTGGGGTGTGCTGAGATAGCCATTGAGACGGTGTGGTGGCGCACGCCAGTAATCCCAGTGCTTGGAGGCTGAAAACAAGAGAATCACTCCAAGTCCAATGTACATAATGAGGCCTTGTAAACCCTGTACTAAATACATAAAAAAAGAAAAAAAGAAATTGCATATATTATGTTCACACTAAGTGTGAGGGTCTGTTTTGTGCTCCTACAACAGAATAGTCAACAATAGACAACTTATAAAGAACAAATATAATTTCTCCCAGCTTTGGAGATTAGTAAATCTAAGACTGGGAAGCTGGCATCTAGTGAGAGTCTTTTTGCTATATGATCCCATAACAGAAGGGATAAAGGCCAAAGAGAGTGAGAGTGAAAAGCAGAACAAAATCCTCCATTTATTTTTATTTATTTATTTATTTCTGGTTCCAGAGATTGAACTCAAGGCCCTGTGCTTGCCTGGTAAAAACTTATTCTACTGATCTGTCTCCCCAGCCCCAGCCCTTTAAAATGTACCCTCTCTTGTGTTAACCAGTCTGCTCTTGCAATAATGGTATTAGTCCACTGTTCCCCCCAAGTAGCCTACATTCTCATTGGAACTTAGCTTCCAGCTCTGTTGCACTGGACTAGAGTTTCCAATATATGGACTTAGAGGAACACATTCAGACAATGGCACTAAGAAGTTGGAAAAAGACAGAAGGTTTGCAATTTTTCTGAGTCTGTTCCTCAAAGTACTATAAAGTACTTGCAAAGATTCTCAGATGATTACTTGATCCACTGGTGATTATTTGATTACCTGACCCACCATCTGTGTGCAAATATAATGTCTCATTTTGCAAAATAAGTACAGTGCAGCACTTATCAGATATGAAAAGAAGTGTTTTAGGATATCTTAAAGGTAATTTTTTGAATCTAGAAGTTCTATAATATCTTTTAATAAACAACTTCCTACATAAAACAAGTTTGTTATCCAACTTTCCAGATGTTGAAAAGTTCTTCAATGATATAGTTTAGATGTATCCAATTGAGTTTAATAATTGACAAAAACTTTTGAGAAAAAAGAAATCCATTTTAGATGAATCAATAACATTTAGAATCCGAATCCCCAAAATTTCCTTAAAATGTGGTCTACAAAATGTTTGATCACAGAGTTCCTAAAGTTTCCACGTTAATTATGTGTATGTTTTGCTTAAGAAGTTTTTGTCATATTAATACGATATTTAGAAAGAGGAACAGCATCCAGAACGGAGCACTTGGCTCCTCTCTCAGGAGAATGGAGAGCAGAAATGCAATGTTTATGCCCAAGAAATGCAGAATTTCATCCAGCACTTCTCTCAGATTATCAGGGTGTTGACTGAAGATGACACAGGACACCCAGAAATAGATGTCATTGCCTGGCTTAAGGAGGTCCTAGGGTACAAGGCCATCTGAAGCAAACACAACCAGGGCTTGATGGTGCTGGTAGCAATCCAGGAGCTGGTGGAGCCAAGGAAACAGGATTAAGACAGCCTGCAGTGGGCACTGACTGTGGCCTGGTGTGTGGAACTGCTGCAAGCTTTCTTCCTGGTGACAGATGATATAATGGACTTATCCCTTACACTGAGGGGACAGGTCTGCTGGTATTGGAAGCCAGGAATAGATTCGGATGCTGTCAATGGTGTTGTCCTTTTGGAAGCCTCTATCTACTGCCTGCTGAAGTTCCACTTCCTGGAGCAGCCCTACCACCCACACCTGCTTAAGCTCTTCCTGCAGACTGCCGGTCAGACAGAGGTTGGGCAGACTCTGGATGTCATCACAGCCCCCAGGACCTTGTGGAGCTCAGAAGATACACTGAAAAGCGGTACAGATCTGTTGTTGAGTACCAGACAGCTTTCTACTCCTTCTTCCTGCCTGTTGCTGCTGCCACGTACATGGCTGGTACTGATGGGGAGAAGGAGCACAGCAAGGCCGGGGGATCCTAATGGAGATGGGCGAGTTCTTCCAGACACAGGATGATTTCCTCGACCTCTTTGGGGACCCCAGTGTGATGGCAAAGATTGGCACTGACATCCAGGATAATAAACGCAGCTGACTGGTCGCTGAGTGTCCGCAGCGAGCCACTCTGGAATAGTGACAGATCTTGCAGAATTGTGGGCAGAAGAACACGGAGAAAGCAGCCAGGTGAAGGCGCTGTACAAGAAACTGGATCTGCTGGTTATGTTTTCACAACATGAGGAAGATAGCTACAGCCACACCGTGAACCTCATCCAGCAGTACGCTGCACCTCCTCCCCCAGCCATCCTCCTGGCACTGGCACACAAGCTCTACATGCAGAAAGCGGAACCTGGAGACCACAAGTTCAGGGAGGGGCTCGATAAATTAGCATGTAACTCCAAAAAAATTCTGATATTTAGTTGCTCCATTTTGCATGTGATATAAGTCTTTTGGCTTCCTATAAGCACACTTCCGAAGACTGTGCTATAAAAATATGTAACATTACTCAAATACCACCTTTATTATAGTTTTCACTTTGTGAAATATTTGCTATCTTGATAAATGACAATTTCAGCCTGAAATATTATTCTCAGGGAGATAAACTTCAAATTGCTACAAAATGCGAACAAATTCATAAGAGATATTAGTTAAGTGGTTATAAATCTCTCTTTAGATATGATGTTAAATCGATATCTTTGATGGCTTTTATTGAATTTATATGTCCAGCGCTGAGCTAGGCATTCGGTTTGAATCAGTTATCACATAAAATTATGAAATAAGCTTTAGTATTAATGTAATTTTCAGTTAATTAAGCTGAGTTACACTCAGATTAAGACCTAGATTCAAGGTGCATAGTTCAGAAGTGCAAGACACAAAGGGCTGTCTGGCCCCAGAACACATGCTGCGATATCTGTGCTCTCAGGGGTTGTCTAAAGAGGATGCTGGCTGGAAGTGAGTCAGCCAACTCCTTATGGGAACATGTTTGCAGGTTCAAGATTTGATATAGAGCTCAGACGTAGACGACCTTTTGTCGGGCTCATAATTCCCAAGGACAGCTGCCGAGGTCCAGCCTCAGCTTGCAGGGAACAGCAACCTGAAGAGAGAGGAAAGCAGGCAGCAAAGATGAAAGACTCAGAGAAACGTAGTGGGATTAGGAGGGAAGACAAGTGCGTCTCTCCAACCCAGAAGAAAATCAGTAGCCTTTATTTATACATGAGTGATTACATAAGCTTTCTTCATGCAAGGTTAACAGATGTGGTTTTTCATCTGTATGTGAGAAAAATTTTTGATTAATATGAGTACACAGTTCAAACTTAAGAGCTGTCATGGAAGCTTAACCAACCATTGTTCCTTCTGTTCTGTTTTCTGCCCTACCGAAACTCTCAGCTCTCAGGGTACTTTCTTAGTGCCTCAAGATGTTGACTCTAAGCTTCCTTGTTATTGTTACAAATTCTTGACTTAGGCTTGTCCTTTTCTGCAGGCTTATAAGGCAGGAGGAGCAGAGTTAACCTCTGTACGAATTTTATGAGCTTAATTAAGTTATGCCAAAACCCTAGGTGATTAATTGTGCACTCTCTTTTATGTGAATCATAAGCTTAACAGTTCCCAGTGGGTTGTGGAGACACATCAGTACCAAGCTCTGCCTTGCAGGTTCTCCAGACTTGACTTGGTTTTGTCAGAGGCCAAGAGTTGGATGACTCTCCACAGACAGATCTCATAAATATGCAGACGTCTACTTATTTTCAATCAGTTCTACACGGCAAGGGTACTTACTATTCACGCATAATCCCCAATCGTAATGGTGATTTGTTTCTTTGTCTCATCGCCTTTTGCAATTACTTTGAAGGTATCTGCTGCAAAGAAGTCATACTCTTAATAGTCTTTGACACACAGCCAGGTAAGAGTCTTTAAGATGTTTTACTGGAGTTTTCTTAGAGACATGTTTAGCCTTATCTCAAGGCATTGGCAGTAAAAAATATAGCTTTATTTCCCCTCAGTCATGCAAATTTCTTGATCTCTGACATTTTTGTTAATTTATTGTGTAAAAATAGCTGTTCTTATCCAAACTTATCTCTTCTTTATAATACCTTGTTATAAACATATATTACAGACAAACATGATCACAATGAGGATATTCTACCCCCCACTTCTAAGATCCAATCTCACCAAATGCGTAACTATCTTTCAGTCTCCCAAGTCCCAGACCCATCGAAGGTTTGATTGTGGTATACAAGTTAGATCTTCAGATTTCCTCAAGCCTCGCCTGCCCATTTCTGTACAGCTTGCCTCACCATAGCTAATCAAACACCACATATTTCAAGACGGTAACTAGTACTCTAGTTTTGGTGGTAGATTATACCTCACCAGAAATTCTAGATGCTAAAGTGGGCCCTAAAATATATATGACTACCTGCATGATATTAGTTCCTTTTTCCTATCTACAGTATGCCATAGACATTACTGATCCATAGATAAAGCTCCACATAGTAATTCTTCCTACATTGTGGCTGTGCAATTTTTAACATTTAGCCCTCAAGTGTCCCAAGCTGGCGAACAGGAAAATGGACCCCGCAGCCTTGCCTGGGTCAGGCAGTGGTAGCATATATCAATTTTAGTTGTGAGTTGTGTCCTAAGGGCTGGAATACAGGTCATGTCTTACTACAGGAAAGGCTGGGAGAATATAACATCGCTGTGTTCTCTGGTGGAATCGAAATTATAAATACCTAACAGTCTTTCTCATGGTCAGAAAATATCAATCTTTCTTTTCTATTGAGTCATTTTCTTATTTTACTGATTTTTGCTCCCTTTAAATAAATTTTTGAGATACTACTGAACTATATTACATTATTAAAATAGTTCTGAGCTATCTTACATTTAGTAAGTTCACATCAAAATCTCTAATATTTTTGATAATTATTTTTTCTCAGATGTGGAAGGAGTGTTTTATTCATAATTTCAGAGCATATGTATTTTTAATTACAGTCATATTTATGGTGTTTTTTAAAAGTTGCATCTTAAGTTTAGCTGTTTAAGGAGAATCTGTTCAATAACTTTTAAAATTGTTGATATCAAGAGCTACCAAGAGGACTATGGTCTACTGTCAGTGTGAAATTTGGAACAAGATTCTTTGGGTTGGTAAACCCATTTTATGCTTGAGTTAAAGTCCTCTGAGAGAAGACCCAGGAACAGTTATCTTCCCTCCTTTGGTCACATAGGTCTCTTTCAGCACAGTTTTCTAATTGTGCTTAGTGGCCAGCATAGGCCCCTTTGCCCTGCATGAATGGGAGTTATTCGGTCTTCCTTCAACAGCACATGAGAGATAGGGACAGACACCTCCAGATGTGGGAATAGGCATGTGTGCATGCAAATGAGTTGGGGGTTCTAGATTTTGAACTAATACTCTTTCTGCATAGTGATTTAGTCGGGATTCTTGTTAAGTGCTGAACATATCACATAGGTGGGAAGAAGACGGAATTGCCAAGTGGTGATCCAGGGGAGCAGACTGTGGCAAACAGTGATCACTCGTGACTGAATAGCTTCCTCTCTCTTCAAAATAGTCCCCTAAATATGTTTCCCTTCTTCCATTCCAGTTAGGTATGGCCATGGACTGTGAGTACAGCCAGGACGACATAAGTAGCAGTGGTACGCAATGCAGTTCCTCTTGCCCTTAAAAGTGTCACACCCACAATGTTCCACCTTCTTTCCCCCTCCATGGTTATAGAAGTGCAGGAGTCACTTTCCTAAGGCATCACAGCCGGAAACCCTTAGACCACCATTTAAAACAGAGCTTCCTGAACAGATTTTATGTAACTGAAGCATACATATGCTGTACACACCACCTGTTAGTTACCTTCATGAATACAGTTACTTTAAAAATAAACAAAATTTTAAAAGCCCTTTAGTATCACATAGTTACTAGATTATACATTCTATATTATAGAATTGTAGGTATATATATGTAGAAGTACACATAAATACTACGCTACTTTTGGTACCCTACACCCTACTACTCTCTTCACAGTACTTTAAAACTGTGTCATTTTATTTTAATGATAGCTGTGATAAGTATGCTATTTTTAGAAAATTAATAAATTGGAGATCTTTATATTAAATTTTCCATGATTTCTCATTATTAACTACTTCAAAATCATTTTTTATTTACTTATTTATTTTTAAATATATTTAGTACCCAGTCTAAAGGGTCTCACTATGAAGATCTGACTCATAGTGATTGTCCTGTCTTCAGCCTCCCAAGAGCTGGGATTACAGGCATGTGCCACCACACCCAGTCTCAATCACTGTCTTAGCATGCCCCAGGGGTGGGCCAGTACAGCATGCTGGGGATTGAACCCCAGTCCTTGTATCTGACAAAGCAGGTGCTTTAATCCACTTAGGTGTCTGGCCAGCCCTTATAGTTCAAAATTAAAGCAAATGTAAATAGTGTAAATGTTATGTCCTTTCCCATGGGAGTTTTAACTTTAAGAAGATTATGTTTTGAATGCTTGGACTTCATCCACAATCTAAGCTGCAAAGCTGATTTAAAGAAATGAATTTTATCAACAGCATCCAAGATGCACTTAGCTTTCACTCTGTAGGAAGAGATCACATGGCCATTTACTTTTATTTGTGCTAGATACAATAATCCTGTAGAGTTCACTCTAACACAGCGCTGTGGGTATATTTAGTAATTAACAAGGCTTTGACAATTACTGTACAAAAATGTGGCTCTAACATCCCGGGGTAAGCACTTTCCTTGAACTTTACCATGTGCTCTTCAGAAAAGCCCTTGAAGATACTGAGACATGGATGTGTGAAGTCAGGGATGGCCTGTTTTTGAGAGGATCAATCACCTCCCTGAGGGATAGCCAGATAGCTCAGTGGACTAAAGTGTCTGCTCGAGCAGACCGCAGCGCCCGGGATTCAATCCCCTGTGGGCCATGCCGGCCCCACCCTTGGGGCATGCTGAAATGGAAATTGAGACTGGGTGTGGTGGTGCTCGCCCCTAATCCCAGCGCTTGGGAGGCTGAAAACAGGAGGTTCAATAGGAGTCTGACCTACATAGTGAGACCCTGTAGTACCAAAAAAATCATCTGCCTGGCAGGCAGAGCTAAAGCCATGACCTGAACTCAGGCTGAGGCTCTGTGGTCCAAATCTGTGAGTGGGTGCTGGCAGTCACGATGAACTCTGTGCCCAAAGGCAGGGCTGCTTTTACCTTCATGAAGAACGACACTTAGAGCGGGTTTTAGTCATTTTTACAAAGGTGCTGCCTTGCAGTTTTCCTCAGCCACGAACTGCTGCCTTCAGCCACGTGCCACTCTGCCTTGGAGATCTGAGTACGGAGTGAAACCTCCACTAGGTGTGAGCTAAATAAAGCTTTTCTTCCCTCATTTGGTGTGTGAGGTATTTTGTCCCAGCAAGGAGAGAAGAGTAACTAAGACAGTTTCAATTTTATCTGGCAAAACTTGAATTGTATTTCTCGTGCTGAAAAAAAGAAGAAAACAATAGTGCTGTTTAAATATAAAACTATAGCCACCGTTTTCTCCCATAACTTCCTCCAATTAGAAAGTTTGCAACAAAACTTGAAAAAAATTGAAAATTGATGCTTATTATAAAATATATGCAACTTTACTTCTATATAGTACCATTATTCCATACAGCGTCATGTTCCATATAGATCATTATCTGAATATTTTTATGCAAAATCATACAGTAAAACTAATTTTCTCCCTTTTAGAAATAAAATAAAACACATCCAAGCATGTGCAGAGTTGGGGCTCAACAGTGGAGCCTTCTCAGAACTGCTGCTTGAGTTCTCATCTCAAGCATCTTTACTGTCACCAAAATATCTTTTTTTCTGAAGTTGGAATCCAAACAACACACACAGACAAACCCACTTTTGCTAGTATGGCTTGTATAATAAAACCACTGTACACAGAACTATGCCACCATTTGAGTTCCCATTTAAAAACAGATTTCTTATGAAGCACCTCTTCCTTTTATATAAAAAATAATCCATCTCCCCAAATTTTATTCTCTAGCATTCAGAAATTTTATATTTTGGTCACTTCATCCTCTGCATCATCTGCCAAATTT